ATGGAGATGGACCTCATCAATTAAAATACCCATTCGATGTGCTTATCGACAAAGAGAGCGATAGTCTCATCATCTGCGATCGAGAGAATAATAGAATAGTTCGCTGGCCTTGTCAAAATGGTACTCGTGGGGAATCAATTGTTTCAAATATCTCTTGCCGCGGTTTGGCCATGGACGGTAATGGTTCTCTCTATGTCGTAGACCAAGAAAAACATGAAGTGAGACGATATCAAATCGGTGACACTAAAGGAACAGTGGTTGCAGGTGGTAATGGACAAGGAAATTGTCTCGATCAACTCTCTACTCCACAATACATATTTGTCGATCGAGATCATTCATTGTATGTGTCTGATACTGGAAATGATCGTGTAATGAAATGGGAAGAAGGTGCAAAACAAGGCATAGTCGTAGCCGGTGGCCAAGGACAAGGAAATAGTCTTACACAATTGAATAGTCCTTATGGAGTCGTTGTCGATCAATTGAGTACTGTCTATGTGGCTGACTTTCAGAATCATCGAATCATGCGTTGGCCAAAAGGAGCCATACAAGGAAATGTCATTGTTGGTGAAAACGGTGCAGGAGCACAGCCGAATCAACTCAATTGTCCCATAGGTTTATCATTTGGTCGGGATGGCAGTCTCTTTGTTGCCGATTACCACAATCATCGGGTGCAAAAATTTAATATCAAATCAACTCAATGTGATGATTAATTTTGGTTTCGCTCTTTTTTCTCTTTCAAATAAATCGCGATTGAACGGAAAATGAATTGAAAACGGATCTATTCTCGTGCGCGCATGATCAGAAACCATTCTAGTGAAGCTGTGACAGGCGTAATGCTCATGCATGCATGGAATGACTTACCTCATGCGCGTGTACACATCCATTGACATTTGTCAATGAGTCTGAAGGCTTGATCGTGCGCCACAGATACCAAGGCAGTTTGTGACCGAGTTTTTAGTGACTTCTCGGAAGTCCTTCATATAAGAAAAACTTTATCTCAATCGACAGAACTCATTCCATTAGCACTCACTGTTCTGAGCCACATTCTATTCTGATCGCAAATAAAACAAGTAATTACTCACCCATTTCATGTTGGATGATGACGTCTCTAAAAGGAAAAGAAAAATATTTAATTGATGATATGTGAATAGGAAAGAAAAGAATAACTTAACTCGTGTTATATTTTTCTTCACCGTTCAATTCTAAAATGAAAAATGTAGAATAGATCAAACGAGGACTTACTAACCTCCATATAATCCAAAATAGAAAAAAAAATAAAAAGTCAAAATATAAAAACTGATCTCTACATCTTCTTTTATCGACTTATTTGATGTTGAATTGTTCGATATAGTGTCGTCGAAGCCAGTCTAAAATATAAAAAGAAAAAATTATTATTTGATTCAATAAATTGAATGATTTTACATAGGAAATTATTCAAATTTATATCCAAAAAATAACCATGATTTTTCTAGTAGAAGAAAATTGTTTTTTCGTTGTTTTGCGTGTGGGAGTTGGTTGGGTGTGGATTTGTAAGCCTGTGGTTCAAATTGACACGCACACCCAGCCACACCCCATACCTCACACCCACCCCAAAGATTTTTTCTCAGTTTATCATGGCTATCTTCGTGTACTGCATGTTAGTTGGTAACATTCTCTATTTTACAAGGTTTTAATCGTTACTTTCTAGAAGTAGTTGTTACAAAGTAATGCAGAAAGTATAGCATACAATAAAAGTCACTACAATAATAATTACTACTGTATTATTAAGTACATTGAGGAGTGATGAATTTACAAAAAAAACTATATTGTTTATTTATCGTGTCTCATGTATGATTAGATTTCTTTCAAGATGAATTATTAAGTGTCTTCTCCTTACCTAATGTTAAGGTAGTGTGATCATTCTATTACAATAACGAGCATACTGTTCTTAGCCCTGATATATAGATGTACTCTGTATCTCTTCTTTGGTTTTTCTGTTAAAAAAAACACAAAGTAGATATCCATACGAAATGTGGTAGGACGAATATTAAGAAGACTAAGTGACGACTCTTTATATTGCTCTCGGAAATCAAATAGTAGACTTTGTTAAGTGCACAAAAATATTCCCACTTTTGCTAAACGGTTCTATATAGAAACATCCTAACCTAGTTTACTGCTTATTGTGGTTTCTAAATATCTACACATAATTAGATACTTGTTCAAGGTTTTGGTTCTGAAAGAATGCTCTCGGATATTCAGGAGCAACAGTATTAGGACATAGCAACATGGTTTTAGTCTTGTTTTCGTTCACTAGTAATAATAATGTAATCTAAGCAGAGTTGCGAACAATAGAAAACTCTGTGGTGTTCCTACTTTTACACTTACTTTTCTAGATAAGGATTTTCCGTCTTATCATTATATACATTGAGCATCTCGGTAGTCACTCAGAAAATGAAACGAATGAGGTTAATATGGCGGGTGTGGGTATGTGTTGGTGATGTTCTTCCCGTCATCCACATCCACACCCTACACCCACCCTAGCTTCATCCATAACCATTTTACTCGGTGCTAATAAGCAAGATGCAATATGTTCACTTGGTTCATGAGCAATCACAGTATTATCACGAGATAAAGAAAGTATACTTGAGCAATTTCGTGAACGGCATTGCCACTCTACTACTGTTTTTCGTTCACGTTTCAGAGTGTATTGAAAACCTTTATAGTTTAACACCTTTCCTGTCCCTTCAGTTGAAGTAAAATGTAGCATTTTTCAATGTAATTATTGATGAGTCAGATGTTCTTATTGACTCACAATAAGTATTTTTCCCATTCGCTACGAAATGGATCCGGCTCTTGGTGCCACTAGCTGTTGATATAGACAGACAAAAGTATGCGAATCTGACTGTTAAATGAAATGGGAACGAATTAGGTAAAAAAGTGAGTGGTTTTTCATCGGGGCCGAATTTGGAAAGAATAATTGGGGCCTACTTTTTTGATGGGAACCAATTCGAACTCGAAATTTGGGGGACGAATACGGAATAATTAAAAAAGGGATGAATCCGGGGTAAGCCCTCTGAATACACTAAAAAAGAAAAAGAAAAATAAATCATTTTAATAGAATTTGAGAAAAAAATTCTATATCAATTAAACCAATCTACTTTTATTAGAAATTATCCTACTATTTGTCTTTTAAGCGTAAAAACATTTTTCATATCTCGTCCTTTCAAAGTAAATTACCAAACACTAATAAAAAACGTATAATCATAAAACCTTTAAAGCCTTTATCAGGATGCAACAAACAATATACCCTTTTCTACCACTTATCAGAAGGTGCTAAATCATTTTGTGGAACTCACATATATTTTCGAAGAAAATAGTGAGTGTAAGTTTTAAGTTCGAGGTTTTGCGGCTCCCCCCCCCCCCCGCTCAGCCAGCCCGCCCCCCGCCCC